CTGCACCATTCAGTGTCAGTCTGATGATGTCTGTGAAAACCAGCTCATTCTGCAATCATGTAAACACACAGTGATTCTTCCTTAGATATATACAAATACAAAAGCCAAAGCAAACTGCTTTTGTTCAGTGCACATGAGAAATTTGAACCTAATTTGAGTGCAAGCTACAGATATAATACGGCAACAAAATGTATATCTCCTCGGCTAACCTTGACGAGTGTCCAGGACACAACTCGGCCATCAGACGACACAGAATAGAAATTGTGGTTGTTGTCCATATCATCACTCTGCCAGCGGACCTAGAAAAAAAAAGTACACTGTATTGGGTTGCAGTAGCATGAATGACATTAGTGAAAGTAGGTTGTTCTTAGTGCTATTTTCAGCTCTCAAAATGGCAAAATGCATAAGTGGACACAAAGTAAGCAAAGATGTGACAGAAATTAGACTGAACAGTGCACACATCCTGAATTTCTGTCACCCTATCCACCACTGTCATGCCATCCACTCGCACCTGCCAGACAGGATCTGTGTGCTTGCCAGTCTTGGCTGTACTCTTGTAAACAGGCTCCTGTCCCTCCTCCTTCAAGCTGTAGACAGCCACACAGCCATCGTAGAAGCCCACTGCCACCAGGTGGGAATGCTGTGCATGAATGTCGAGGCACATGACACCAGAACTGGTGGGGTAGATGTACTCTGGGAAGGCAGGGTTTTTCAGCGAGTAGAAGAGAAGCATGCCACATCCTTGTCTACTGAAGTTGTCTGGCCAAGAGAGGGACACAAGTGAGTGGTTTGCAAAAAAAGATAGATTATTAATTTACAGCATTTGTTTAAAAAAGAAAGAAAACATAATTTAGATAAATTTAAGTTGTCTAAGACGGTGACAGATGAGGTGCTTACTAACAGCTCTCTGCCTTTGAACTTACATGATCCCAATCCCACAGCAAAAAGGTCCTGATATTTATTATTCCTGTTAAGGACAGGTGACTCAGTATCATGCCAGCAGAGGAAACAAACAATCATTGAAATCCAGTCATCTCTCTGAGGTAACGTTCTAGAGCCAGTGAGTCAACCTACCAGCAGAGGGCAGTGACAGACAGTGTCTTGGCTTTGTCATATTGAAACTTCCACAAGGGGAGAAGGGTTCCCTCCTGCTCCCTAAACTCATCAGAGGCATCCTCAAAGTATTTAAAATCTGAAACGGTATAGAAGGAGAGAAATTAGAGGAGAAGAAAAGAGATGAGAATGTCCTTGCTTGATTATGAAATCAGGCTGTAGTTCATTGTTCTTTATCTGTTATGTACGATAACAAAACAAACCTTGTGCTATGTCATCAAATGTATTCTGACTGATCGTTCGTTCAAGGATCTTTGATGCCATGGTCCATTTGGTGACATCTTCACTCTATAACATAAATGTGACATTACACTGGATGAAAACATTGCAAAAGCATGCAATAAACAATAAACATGACTATTATGAGAACATAAAAATTATGGTGTCATTTAGTGATTTTGTTTTATGAGTAGCTCAGTGAAAACCCTTAGTAATGCATTAATATGGTGTTATATACATGGTTTGTATGGCAGCAAGATAAAGCAACTTTTGTCTGCTCCTTTATTCCCAAAGGGTTACCGTGGCAGCGGATGCCCTTCCTGAAAAAATCCCTAAGGACCTTGTGTCACCTCCCAGATTTTTTGATTGTTAAATGAATGTGTAAACCATATTAAATGTAAATGTGCTAAAATACAAATATTAGATGCATGTTGAGTTTAGGCTGTAAAGTTTTTCAGTCGTCAACTTACCTGAGTCTCCATCAGCATCACCTTTTTGCTTTTGCCATTATCTTTTTGTGAGTGCGTGCCTTTCTGCTTCTCTTTGTTTTTCTCTTGTTTCTGCAGCTCCTGCACGTATGCATCATAGATCTCCCACTGCCAATAACAGAGTTATTACCATCAAATGATAGGGGAACAAATATTCGCTGATGCTCAACAGAGAGAAAACAAATGTGGCCTAAACATATCCTTTGATCACATCAGGGAATCCAGTACCTGATTAGCAGTAGCAGAGAAGCTGCTTCGTGGAGGAGGTTCAGTCTGGCAGATTCTATCCTGCAAGGAAATTAAGAATGACTTCACTGAAACTTTTGAGTTTATGTTAATCTCTCTATCTACTTATTGAAACTGTTTTAATGCAAAAGCAAATACGTCAACCATTGCACAAAATACTGGCTTTGCCTCTCCTACCTACCCTCATTGGATTATTGAGAGTCTGAGAGGCTCGATTACTGAAGTTAAACTGGTTAGTCACTTTTGGCTCTTTCTTGTTGATTCTGGAGACAGCACTGTCTGGTCTGTCCTCATCGCCAGCTTCCTCCACGTCCCCTCCATCCACTACAGGATTAACCTGTGGAAAACCAACAAACAGATATTTGTAGCGCAAGTCAAACTTTGACTAATTTATGCTTTAAAGAGTTACGTTTAGGAAAAGATTTATTTTATAAAAAAATTTTCACCGAGGCTTCTGCTTTCTCCCCTTCAGACTCTGCTGTGGCATCAACTGTTGCAATCTCTAGACACATAAAAAAAATCTATTATATCTCTGATATCTCACTATTGGGATCTCACTTTTTGCGAAACAGGGTATTTCTCACATTTTATGTTGCAAGGCAAAAGCGACACCTTGAGGCATCAAGTGTCAACTACAACAGAGGGGAAAATATAACACTACAGGCAACAAAAACAAATTCTGAGAATAAATCATTAGTTTTTGGGTTTGTTTCTTTTTTTGACTACAGAGTGAAAGCCTTAAGCAACCGTCATTTCTTTATATTTTGTTTTTCAATGAGCCAGACTTTCTCATAAGTTTTTAAAGTGGTTTTAAGCAATATTTTCCAAAATAGGTATGAGCTAAAAACTTGCCATATCTCAGCATAGTGTGCAGTGTGTCCTTAAAAAAATCAGAGAAAACTGGACAAGTGGAAAGTGTCAAGAAGCCATTTTGACAACACAAGGGAACTGGGGAGCAACTTATACAAGAACTGCATTAAAAATCAGTGGAAACAGGTTTTATAGAGTAATGAATCCCAGTTTTAAAGTTTTTGGTGACATCGTCAACACTATGTATGGAGGAAGTCCATTACTATACTGTACTAAATACAGTATTGTTTTTACTACAGCTACTACTCCTACTGCTATATTTACTATATGTATATAATGTATTTCCATTTCCTTTTCAATAAATGTTCAATTAATGTCTTTTCCCCCTTGCAAAATATAAAGAAATACAGGGTGGTTAAAGACTTTTTGACTTATCTTATACATCATATATATAAAGTAGAGCAAAATCTATACATATTATCCTCTGTTGTAGGATGTTTCAGTAAATACCTTGAGCTAAGCCTTCCTTGACTCTAAGTTTACGAGCCTCTTCAGAGTCTTGATGCACAAGGCTGCCCTCTAAAACACAGTGAACCGCCATCTGATCCACAACATTGATAGGCTTGTAGGAACGCTCCTGAGAGAAACGAAATGTGCTTGTTTAGTCTGGTTATAAATTAAAAGAGAGAGGAGAAGCGAATGCATGGGGACTACCTGCATAGATTGTATCAAATTATTTGAGATGAAACAAATAACACTTGCGGCAAACAAGTTATTCTTATGCTAAACGTAAGAGGCTCACAGTGAAGCAATCATCAGTCTACAGTCCACATCTTAATCTGTATTTTGTATACTTTCATTGCATCTGTAAACAGTGATTTTGATTTTTCCATCTGGATCTAGCTTCTTTACCTTGATGCTGTAGCGGACAATATTTTGAGGGGCGTGTGGGTTGTTTGCAGTCAGAATCCTTGTGATGTCCTCCTTCAGCTCCTATTCATTATCAACATAGAGAGATCCTTAACACAAGGACAATTAATTTAATTATAGCTAACAATTTTAATATAGGCACCGAATGATAAAGAACAGCATCAAAGTCTGCGCAAATTTCTTCAGTTCAGCCCACATGGTTGTCTTAAACCTGAGAAATTAGTGTTTCCATCCTTCTCTTACAGCCTCAGTAAGCTCCATCTGATCTGGAGGCCTCACAAGGGCTTTTCCCTGAGACCACTCCTCCCATCCAGTCCCCGTCTCCACAGCCTCTTCCTCATCCTGTAACGTTGCATAGAGAAGACATTTATGAATAAAAATCACATTATGTTATGATATAGTATATTCATCACTCTTCTCTTTCCGTCACCCAAACGCCAAAACCTATCCAATAAACACACCCACCTTTTTCTTAGTGGCAGCTTTCGTTGACTTTGCTCCAGGTACCTTCTGAACGTTTGACCCCTGTGCGAAAATAACCAACAATCAGCTATACGGTGGGTTATATTACAGTAGGTCCTTAACAATTGCTTTACTTATCCGTGAAGCTACACCATGAATATTCTAGTTAGCTAATTCAGGCCAGCTAAACCGAGCTGACGTTTACCTTCCTTGCAAACGCTGCGTTGTTGTTAGGCACCGGCATTTTCAATTTAATTTTTAAAGCTAGTTTAGAAAGTTCGAAAGAAAAAAGGGAAAAACAAAACAAAATTAAACTAGTTAAAAGCTAAAAAAAAAGAATAGAAAAGAAAGAAAGAACAAGGGGCTGTCTGCTCGTAGCCTGCTGCTGTATATAGGTTGTCAAGACAACCAGTTTTGGTTGGCGCAGAGCCGGAGACTGCTGGATGTGTTCAGTCCCTCAGACAACACTTGAACATTTTTATTAGTGAACTATTTTAGCAGTATTATTCTAATTTTATCAGCTAAAGGAAAAAAAATTGTGGTCTGAATGCTTTTGACATAATTATACTAAATAAGGAGAGTTTATTATGGAAAGGAAACAAGTGTATTTTTTATATTAAATTAAAAAAAAAAAATCAAACAAACACCCTTCCCCCTCCAAAACAAAACAAAAAACACAAAAACGCACGTATGCTTGCCTTTGCAATTCTCACTGAAAAAACGAATTTGGTTCACGGCGCAGTTCCAGTGGGGATCTCATCTCTGATTGGACGGTTTTTGCCTGAATAATTTATAGACCCGGAAGTGGGGCGGTACTGCTGTTTTGCTGTCGAGTCACCTCTGTCAGGATGGAAGAAAACGAGCAGCTATCATGCTGATTAACGAAGGATGCCGACTGCCGACCACCATAAACCTGGCATAGTTCGAGTACATTCGACGTACAGCTTAAATCCCTGCATCGTTTTCTGCGACGCTTTGGCAATATGATGGAAGAAATCGACAGGTTCCAAGTGCCTCCAGTTAACGGAGAGACACAGCCTCTGGTAAGAGACGAAAGACAAATCCCCCCACCCAAAAAACAAAATACAAATCTCATGCAAATCAGTTTATAATGTAGGCAAAAGGGCAAGTTTTAGTGTCGCCTGTGTGGTTTTATAGTGATAGCCGTGTCATGTAATCTGCCTCTGAGCTAGCCGATAAAAATTTGGAGCTCTGGGACAAGCTGGCTCTGTGGGATGGGTGTAAAACGACCATCTATAGATGGAAAGGAAAGGAACGCGTCTGTTGGTTTCTCTGTACGATAAATATATTAGCATTACATGTAATAACTGATAGATGAACAAGCCGTTACTTTTTTCTCAAAGCAATTAAACTGCGCACTTTGCAGAAATCGTGATTCTTTCAAATTCACGTCAGTATGCGCTTGTTTACATCAATAGATGACACAGCTCACTGTTTTCACATTTCGTCATTTGGTGACGTCTTATTTGGGTCGGGATGGGTGAGTCCAAATGATGGCGTGAATACCCATACTGCGGACTGAAGTGTGGTAATAGTTGGCTCGAGCAGGCCCAAAGTAAGAGGATAGTCCCTGCATATTTTACCCACTGACAAGTTTCGAGACCTGTCAGAAAAAATTGAAATGGATTTACTTCAGCACCAGCAACTTACGTCATTACCGTTTCCTTCTGCTTATAATGTTTCTCTCTCTCTAGATTTGAAATAAGTCGTGGTCACTATTGACAAATTGAATAACTGGTCTCATTCCCTGCGTTCAGTTTTGCGTTCATTTTTAAGTGCTTTTATATCAACAGTACATCACTGCCAGATATTACTAACACAGAAGCCTTCTTCTTCACATGTGAAACAAAGCAGCCTCAAACAGCTGCCCTTTTTTCTTTTTTTTTCTTTTTAAGCGTTTGCCTCAGGGGGTTAGGCAAAAGCAGTGCTCCAAGTGATACTGTTCACATTATACCCGTGCTTTTCCAGCCTTACTACCCCTGAGGAAATCACATAAGAACAGGCTTCCCTCACAAAGTCTCGTTTGCTTTGTGCAGCAGCGATCACCTTGCTGTGTTAGGATCAGATCCGTCTGCACTCGTGTTTGATCCAGAGAGGTTTCCTTGTGAAGCTGAATCAGAGATGGCCCTGCTTAGGCTGTGCATACAGTGGCGTTGGTCAGCACGTGCCCTAAAAGTCTTGAAATCACATTGTGTATTCCTTTTCATCTTTCAACTGTAAAAGGCGATGTGGGTTTAAAAATATTATTTTATAGTTCAGCTCACGATCTCAGCCACTGAGCCACATATGGCCGTGCATTTTAATGCTAATAACTTCATTGTGAATGGGATGCTTGAATGCTCATGGCACCTGCCTCTTTGTCAGGACTCTGTTTCACACAAATAAATCAGGTTAATACTCAAGTTTGAGCCGTTTAATTCCTTTTCTATATGATATTTTTTCTTTCAGTGGGAAAAAAAAGCAACTTCCCTGAGAACTTCCCTTTTATGCTCTTCAGCACAAGAACATCTGACAGTGATTACTGTAGGCTACATCTATTTATGGAAGATTTCCCTGCAACGCACTGAGACAGCAATATAGTCATCACTGCCTTGCATAAGGAAAGCATTCAGTTGTTTTAAAGGCCACCTGATGTATCAGTCTTAGCTGCTATTGGCTAGTGGATGGCCGTGATGCATAATCCTAGCAATCGCTTGGTGCTTATGCCGTGTCAGCAACCTTGTGGCACTTCATCATCACAGGTAGAAAAGAGGTTGCAAGCAGGGCGACAGAGTGAATGAATGTGTATGCGAATGCATGATGAAGGTCAGGCCGATGGCCCATGTTTTATTGTCATACATATAAATAAATATAATGCCCCAAGTGTCATAGATCATCCTTTAATCTTTCATCAGTAGTTGTCAGCAGTCAATACAGGGTCTTTGGGGAATATCTATGCTCTTAACCCCTTAGCAGTCCAATTAGTCCCCTAAACCATCCAATGTACCGTGGGCGGTACGTCCGACTGCTAACAGGTTAATGCATGTTTTATAAGGTCTAGTTCAATTTAATCTCATCTCATTGCATCTCATTGCCACCTAATATCCTCCACAATGGCTTGATTATCATTTGGGTTTGGAAATGTTAAATTCAATTCTTTGGGCCAACTTTCTACCTAATACAAGGTGTTCTGGGTTGTCATATTCCAGGGCCTGTTTTAACTTGCTTATCGTGGGTACCTGCTACTTGCCGTCTGTAATTGTGCTGTCCTATTTTTTAAGAAGTGGCAGGAATTTCTGTCACAAACAGCTTAATACCGAATCCTATTCATTATTCACTGGCAGGCTCTGCTGAAAAATTTCAAAAGGATTTATTTGACAGGCGGTGTGACCGTACAACATCACAGCATCTTTCTGTAGTGGAAGGAAAGCACGAAGAAGCAAAGTAAAAATCCAGTGGGTAAGCCTGAGGTTCTAAGGGACGGGCCTGTCACAGAACAGAAGATATTTGTGCTTGTTATGGTGGGAATACCTCATCTGTGTGCTGTGATTTCACAACCTCCTTTAATGTGTGTATCGTATCCACTATTGCAGTTTTCATGATTTTTTGTTTTTGGTTTTAATGGTTGCGCTGCTGAAAATGCACACACAAACTACTCTGTTTTACAGTTGTTTGGAATTTGGATCTAACATACATTGCGGGTGGCTCCATAGCACATTGGGCTGCACTTGTTTCACATTTGTCTATTATGTGAAAGATCCCTGGTTTGATCCTGGGAGGAGACACAAATCCCCTTTGGAGTTGTGTCAGGAAGGGCATCCAGTGTAAAAACTCCTCAATCAAACATGCAGAGCTACCTGCTATGGGTCACTTGTTGAAAATAGCTTTTTATCTTTCAGCTTATCTTTTTCTTGAGGTCATAATTGTAACTTGTCAGAGGACAGAGCTGCTGTTTGTCTTTCTGTAGATGCTCTATTGAAAGTGCACTGGCATGCTACATCCCAGTGAGGTTTGCCAGCTGCACTGCTCAGGAAAAGACAGCAATCCAGAGAGTCGTCAACACAGCACAGAAGATCATCGACTTTGCTCTACTGTCCTTGGAGCTCTACATGTCCAACTGGCACAGAGTGCATAATATATAAATAAAATGCAGACGTGTTTACTGTAAATGCAAAACTGTTGGCTGTATATAATTTGTAGATGAATACTGTGCTCCTTAAATGAGGCACAATAGGTTTATCTTATCTAATGTTACATAATTGCCAGCACTGTCTGCTTACTCAGCTTTTTTCACCCATAAACAGACTGATATGTAACTGCAAAGCATCTCTTTTATTATTCAGCAATTCTAAAAATATTAACCCATTACATTTTGGTGCGGTTCTGGTTTGCATTCTTTACAATTGCAAAACGCAGCATCATGTCCTCTCCGAGAGGAACAGTAATCTATTTACTGTCTCTGCTAAATGATTACAGATCAGCTCTATTTGTCTTTTAGAATTGACCTGAACTGGTATAGTACTGTAAGTGTTTTAGCCATCCACCACTCCTTATTCATTTTAAATTGTCATAGCATATTCAGACAGGGAGCATACGCTATTTCAGATACACCACTGGTATGAATTTTTTAACTTAAAGTGTCAAATTTCAGCTCCAGATATTTATTTGCTTAAAGCCTTTTTTAAATATAGCACCCGTTTCTCTGGAGAGTATTCAAAGTTATCGAAAGCCAAATGCCTGGTAGCCTTCGTTCATGTGGCCCACTGAGTCCCACACAGCGCAACAAGGGGAGGCCTGTGGGATCAACATAATGTGCAGCTCTGTGAGGAGAGGAGGCCAAGTGCGGCCTAGCTCCCCTCTCTCAATCTGGCGAAAGTGTGGCTTCAACAGCAACCCCCTCTGTTCTCCCACAGCCAACTCCCCATGCAATCACCACTTGCTCACACATGAAAGAGAGAGCTGCTAACATAGGCCGAACACTCAAGCCTATTGATGCTGCAATCCAAGCAGCGATAGAAGGCTGCAGGAAACTTTCCAGGGTGCTTTACCCGAGTAGGTTCTAAAGCAGGCTGATTTGCCAGCTTTGTTGGTTAGTAATAAATCAGACAATCACTCTCGTCTGAGTGAGTTGACTGGACTTTGTTCAGTCTCACATACCTCTACAGTAAAGAGTTAAATGCCAGTCATAAATAAAGAAACACAACCTAACACATCTTTCTTTTTCTCTAGGACCCCGCAGCATCTTCCACCTCAGAGGCAGAGCCTGACACTAAGGGAGAAAGTGTGGCCATGAACTACAAGCCCTCGCCGCTGCAGGTCCAAATAGGTATTGTAGTCAACACACCGCAAGTCAATGCATGACATGTCTTCATGTTTATCATTTAGAAATCAATTACCTTTGCTGTGGGATACCACAGTATGCAGGTTTGCTTTGCTGTGTCATCCAAAGTCAACATGAGGCCATAAACATCGAGCACCATGTGATATTTCTTATCTATACTGGATGTCAATGAAATTATTTTCCTTATTATTTTCAGTCTTTCTTACTGTCTAATAGCTACAGAGACCAGCTGTCTAACGGATGCTGTGTGTGTTGCCACTTCTTCTTGTTGACCTTGAGGTTTTATTTTTATTTTTTTTGTGTGGCTAAAAAACCAATCAAAACTTGGCTGATATGGGACAGTCCTAATAGATGCCATATTAAAATGACCTTGCACCGCACAGTAGCCTTGGTTCGCTACACTGTGGCATACTGTATTATATAGGCTGCATTTGGATAAAGCAATTTTGACATGAAAACAGGAAACTCGATTTAAAAAAAAACAAAAAAACAGTCAAGGAACAATGCCAGTGTTTTTAGCTTAATTGGTGCATTTACTGATGACCTCACATCCTGTGGTTGCCCAGAGAAACAGAGGGACCTTGCCAGGAAGGGATCGGTGAAGAATGGCACCGTGGGAAGTCCTGTCAATCAACAACCCAAGAAGAATGCCAGGACAAGGTAGCGGCTTCCACTGCCTGTTTGTTTCTCTGTTATTCTGACCCGCTCAGCCACAAATGTTACACTTTGCGCTCATTAGCATTTTTTTCTATCTTCAGTTCCCCATTCAGGTCTGAAACTCAAAGCGCCTGAAATGCAAAACATGAGGACTGTGCGTCCTCTGAAAAGGCTTTATTTGCTGCAGGGCTGCTTGGGATGCCATCAGACTCCTTAATGCTATAGCAGAATGCAATTGGGCTTTTTAGCAAAGGCAAATTTGGTGGTTTGTGAGTGGGAAGGCTGATACAAGTGTTAAAACATTGTGAGTGAAACAAGTGCAACCCGCAGTATTACTGTCGCATCTGTTTAATCCCACTCCCTGGTGGATTAGTGGAACTATAAGAAAGGCTACCCACTGATCTTAACCCACATTCTCTCAGGCAGAAAGATAATCTGGCACTGCCTGCAGTTGGAAAGCTACAGATTAGCCTCATTTTAGGGGGAAATGAATGGCATGGATGGTGGATGAATGGCATACATATCACAAATATCAAATGCTGTTATTTGATTCTATGACTTTTACATTTGCAGGTATTGCAGGTAATGTTGTGTTAGATTTCTTCACAAATGTGAAGGACATGTGCTGATTGCTTTTTTTAAGTTTATTTCTAATATAGAAGTGTGCTCTTCTCCATTCTCTTTTGAAGGCTGGTGGTGCCAAACAAAGGCTACTCCTCCTTAGACCAGAGCCCAGATGAGAAGCCTCTGGTAGCGCTGGACACAGACAGGTATGTACCGTACATGTTGTCACGTCGACTTAATTAAAATCATTTTTTTTTACAGACAGATTTTTAGGAAGAGTGCAGATGAGCTAAAAATACAACTGCCTTGTAGAACTTGTATTTTTTGTAGGCCTTTCTCTGTCACGTCGGCATATTAATCCAAAGAGTAACTTGAGAGAGTCCCTAACAGCCGGTATCCTAAAAAGGGGCAAAGCCTCTCCCAGGGCTCCGGATTAGAGGATAGCGGGGTGAGGATTTGGACAGGCAAAAGCAGCTCAAAGAGAGCGCTCACATCCACCCTGTGCCAGCAGGACAGTATTTGACACAGATGAGTCCCACCCTTCGCACCCCCTTGTGTTGCTACATGTGGCAAACCCGCTCTTGTAAAACGAGCTCTCTGATAGCCAACAAAGCTTACATCATGTATTGCATCATATACTCTGTCTGACAAGCTTTCTCTGACTCATAGCCTCGCGGGATGCCCATTTGTTCATTGTTCACATTTTAGATTCATGTACACGTCCTTCACTCAATGTCTCCCTGTTTTACTCTCTCTATATCTCTATATCATCTTTCTCTACGAAGGCAACAGGACAAAAATAGACAAAACCTTTGTCTGAATACATTTTGAGCTTAAATATGATACAGAAATGAAAGAAAATTTAATTTACTATTTTTAATTACATATTTTTTCATTGCCACATACATGATACAGTCATTTTTCCTAAAAGTCTCTCAGCCAAATGCCTCACAGTCGTTCTGCTGTTGTTTGTCCAGCATCACTCAACACTTTAACACAACCTAATGCACGCTATAATATTCTGTTATTTCTTATCTCCGTCATTTGATAAATTTCATGTTAGTCACGGACCACTTACCAAAGATGTTGTATGGCATTCTAATTAACACTTTTAGTTCCTTTTTCTCACTACAGCCCTGATCAAACACACATTTGTAATAGTTTCTGGTCCTCTAAAGCCTCCACTGACTCTGCTAAATATAGAGTAGTTATGGAGGCGTTGGTTATGCTAATGATCAGATCTCATGAGCGCATATCTCATCGTGCATGAGTGACATTCATCAGGCTGTAATAAGCGATTTACGACAGCTTTGTCTTAACTAAGAGTGTTTAACATGAAACTAGGAAAAAATGTTTCTGTGAGGTCCAGTAGTTTGGAAATTTCACCACTTTGTGTTTCCCTTCAAAGGTTACATTCAGATTTTCTTTGAAAGATGAATATAACACCTTTAATTAATATAATTCCTTTTCAAAGAGAAGTGCTGCTCAGGTAGTGTAAACTGCATGCATTGTGTTGGATAATAGCTTCTGAGTTTCTAGTGGAACTGTGGAGGTTTGCAAGTCTTAAAATTTAAATATCTTTATCTGGAGAATAAATAACCCCAATAGAGGCTGTAAATGTGATACGGGCAGTCACGAATCAGTAGAGTTCTGTTAACCGTAATCAAAATATAAATCGGGATACTGCAACCGCTGCGACCGGCTTCAATTCCCACTATTTCATTATCACTACAACTTACTGTTTCATCGACGCCCCCCCACCCCATTTTTAATGTCTAACCACTGATGTCGTGTCTTGCAGTGACGATGACTTTGACATGTCCAGATACTCCTCATCAGGATATTCCTCAGCCGAGGTGAGATGTCTGAGGGACCAGGTATTTATACACATATTATATTGTTTCACAGCATCGTGTGGTGAAATCACGAAAACCGCCATGTGATCACACACTTCCTTTGTCACACCAGATGTCTGTGCGTATGTGCGTCCATTCAAGTGTACACTGGCGTCTTCGATCTTTCACTCACACTCACCTGTAATGACTTCTCCATAATTGTCATCCGGATAGATTTGTTCCTTTTCATTTCTTCCACTTAGAGTAGAATAAATATATAAATTATTTATATTTTTGGGGTTCTTGACTCAAGCCATTACATTAGTAAGTTCTCTGTACTCTGCTATATTTCTGCTTTGTGTGTCTTTTTATTAATTTAGACTACAAAGATTTATTTTCTCTCTATTGATCTATGCTATATATTTCTAGAATCAGCATAGAAAGTTGATGCCTGATACTTGTTTCTTCGGGTTTCACAGCAGATCAACCAGGACCTGAACATCCAGCTCCTGAAGGACGGTTACCGACTTGATGAGATTCCTGATGATGAGGATCTGGATCTGATCCCTCCTAAAGCAGTCAACCCCACTTGTATGTGCTGCCAGGCTGCTCCCTCCACAGCCTGTCAAATCCAGTAGCACTAACCCCACCTACACAGTCTCCTCCATGCCACCTGTACTGAGGCCAACAACTGACCAGAGTGGCAACAGAGGAAGACAAATTAAAGGCTGGCAAAGGCACAAAGGGAAAAAAACAACAACCAAGGGTTTATAAATGCGAAAATTGAATATGTACAGTATCTGTGCATGTTCCTCCTATGGTAGGATCTGTGCATCTTACTTCTGCATTGTTGGTTCAAAAGGGACTCGACTGATGGCAGAAACATTACCTCTAAGAGAAACACACGACTTTGTTTGAACTTCCATCTCATGCTTGTGGATTTTCTGGCTTAAACAGACCGCGATGGTGCAACGCTGGTGAAGAAAAAAAACTGTAAAATGACAGGAGCTCAACCAAATACGTGTGATGGTGACAGGTTGTTATTACCGCGTCATCCGCCCATCCAAGCAGATGACTTCTTCTACTGATGTACACAAAGGACAAGAAGAGATCGGAAGCTTTGTAGTGGCCATTGTTTTTCTTTTTCTTTTCTTTCAGCCAGTCTGCTTTGTCTTCCTGTGTATATATGTGTCAAACATGATGTGTGCGATTAAGCCCAAGAACACCGTGCTAAATCATCCAGCTGCCGATAAAACACTAATGCTATAATAAAGTAGTAATCCAGATTCCTTTCTTTTTATTTCTTTTTTCTTTTACATGTTTATCTTTAACACAAAGATTGTACTGGGCCGTTGTTTTATATTTAGTTAAAAAAAAAAAAGAAGCAGAAAAATGCATGTTGCCTGTTAACACTGTGCCCAGATGACCAGCCTGTGCAGATAATTTATCCGTTTTTATTGAGCCCTTAGCACATCCTTGTGCTGAGGAGACATTAATGTGCTTTCAGAAACATAGTTAATCTCATTTAGGTTCACATACTGTAATATCAGTAAATCTAGTGAAACCATATAGTGTCAGCTCAGCGAGTAAATGTGTACTTAAAGTGTGTTTGTCTGCATTAGCCTCCCTAGGTGACGGTTCACATAAACTTAGGAAAGTAGTAGAAAGAAAAGGGTTTGGAAATGGGAAATACATTGGTAGGGATGTAGTGTTGGTCACACATACAGGGTTCTGAAGCATGTTGAAGTGATTTCATAATGCTTGGATGCTGATTTTCTTTTTTTAATCTTATATTTTCCCTCTATTTTCCCGTCATTCTTCTTCTTTTTTTAGATAGGAACATTAACATGCCATCCCTTTTCATTTTTACGTTTTTTTTGTAAAGTATGAAACGAGTGCATATTACTTGAGTAACAATAGAATTGATGTGGGGACAGGCTCTGTATGTGTAGCATATGTTGACAGTGCTTTATGCCATTCACTATTTTCAGGTTCTATAGAAACTGTTTATTTGTGGGGCGATCGTGGCTCAAAGAGTTGGCAGTTCGTCTTGTAACCGGAAGGTTGCCGGTTCGAGCCCCGGCTCGGACAGTCTCGGTCGTTGTGTCCTTGGGGAAGACACTTCACCTACCGCCTGCTGGTGATGGCCAGAGGGACCGATGGCGCGATATGGCAGCCTCGCCTCTGTCAGTCTGCCCCAGGGCAGCTGTGGCTACAACTGTAGCTTGCCTCCACCAGTGTATGAATATGAGAGTGAATGAATAGTAGAATTGTACAGCGCTTTGAGGGCCCTGAAAAGTGCTATATAAATGCAATCCATTATTATTATTTGTTGTTTAAATGTACTGAAAGAGCATTCTTTGTTTTCCTTCTTTCTTTTTAATGATTTTATTACTCTGAAGATTGGCAGAACTCTGCAGACAACATTTATTTTTTGGTTGATGGTAAAAGTCACTTGAACGTGAATCGACTCCAAAAGAAATGATCATGTAAGGTCGCGCCAGCTGCTTCAGAAAAATTCAAGTAATGAGCTTTTAGAAGTGTACCACTGTTCATGATCATGAAGCATTCAGAGACACCATCTCTTTAAAATCATTTCAAAATCGATGAGCTCTACAGCTTGAATGAAACGTAGCTGATAACGTACATGGGAGTGTGTGTGCACTTTACATTCAATTGCAGTATGTAGTAACAAGAAGTACTGACGAATATTCAAGGAGTTACAAATACTGCGCATCTACGGTGCAGAGCCTCATTTTGAGTCTCTTGTTAGATGTGCGGCTGTGTTTCTGGGGGTTCTGTCAAAGCTGATAATGTGTTGATTTCTTTTATGTTTTTCTGTTATGATAATGAAAGACTACAAAAAGCACCAGTAACAATCAAGATCTAAAAGATTGATGCTATTGGAGATACAGTGTGTAATGTTTACCTCCTAAAGGACTCTTGCTTTGTGATCTTGCTTTTGCTTTTTGTTGTTTACGTTTAAGTTTGTAGTGGTGGTCATCAAGAGATGAACCTTTGCACTGTACTATATATAAGGAAGTAGTACCGTATTTATAGCATAAAACAACTAAAAGTTGATTGGATAGAGATAACTAAAAAACTATTTATCTGAATTAACAATTCAGAAAATATTGCTTATTTCCCTTTTATCCCTGATAGAACCTCAGTGTTCCTGCAGCATTTGATTTAGAAAAGTGCACACTAAAAATAGTTTACATTTTGCAAAAAGGTGCCATGTGTTTAGACAATAAAATCATGTGCAAAAAGTAGAAAAGTCCATCAACAGCACAGTAGGTAATTTAAAATGTCACCAGTGTAGCTAGTAGGTGGATGCACAGTTAGCATATATGATGAGGAAGTGATTGCGTGTGACTGTGGAGCTGTATTTTTTTTCCACCATTAACATCATCCTAATGGATTTTCACACAAGTCATCACAATTATCTTCTACCGATTGCAATACTTGTGGCTGATGTATAAATTAAGGTGTAGCTGACTTCTTCACTGACTTGAGTTTAGGGTAATTTCTTGTAATTGATGCTATTTATTTGCAGTTGTGTGTTTTTTGTTTACTTTCACATGTGGGAAATAATTCATACACAGACTGAAGCTTTTTATTTGTTGTTATGATGATTGTGAACAGGTTCCATTTAGATTTTAATAGTGTTAAAGTTCTGTGTATAGTACAACATATAAAAAAAATAAAAAAAATAAATATTAGATATCTCAACTTTGATGGTGCCGTGTGACTCTGTAATATCCAGTTATATTCTTTAACTTCTTTAGACTCTGGTAGTTTTCCCTGCAGGAGATGAAACAAACAGCTACTGGCTGGAAGAGTTTCCTTGCCTTCCCTGCAGAGACTCTGCTGGTAATGGGTGATTGCCTACTGAAGTATATGACATTACGTCCAAGGTGGGCAAGGTGGGGAGGGAGGGAACAATAGATTGATGGAGTAGTGAGTGCGGGGGGTTGGGCATTTGTGATTAGCTTTGAGTTGATCCCTCTGGAGCAGATGGTGAATGGTGGCTTACCTAGATGCCTTGAATCCCAGGAGTTAACGGTAGCATGTGTCCATGTGGAAGGAGTAACACCGAAGTTGAGGAAGGAAGAAAGAAAGCCTCATGAGAAAAAACTGCAGGAAGACAGGTAAGGAACATTTTCTGTTAGTGACTGACTTTGTGTTCGGAAATGTCACTGTGAACAGAGAAGGGCTCCTTATCGAAGGAATTCCTGGTTAAGATTCATATACTGGTTAGTAGGTGATGATGAATACCTCATTTTCATCCATCTAGAAACTTGTATGGTATTTGTAAAACCTGTGGTGAATAGGGTGATTACTGTCCCCTTATCTGTTCTGCCTTACACTGTTGGCCCTATCAAAGACTTTTTTTAAACACAAAATATTATAATAGATATAATGTGCAAATGTCTTGAGTCACCCCTCATTTCTTTATATCTAACATGTGGAAACATAAATGGAAATACGGTTTAAAAGGCAAAAACAGTTTATACAATTCTAACCAGCTTGAAAGTTAATATTTGGTATGACCACCTTTATTCTTCAATACAGCCTGAATTCTCTTCTTCAGGCTTCTTCTTTGAGTTATCTTCAGGAATAGTTCTCCAGGCCTAGAAGTGCAATCAAAGCTCTTTTTGGATGTTGTTAATATTGAGGTCAAAGCTCTGGGGAAACCAATCCATGATTAATAGTGAGCCATTTTGTGTTTTTTTTTTCCAGGTATGCTTTTACTGCATTGGGAGTATGTTTGGGATCATTCTCATAATGCTTTTCAAATGGTATTGCATGGTGGATCAAAATCTGATGACACTTTTCGGCACTGATAATTCCATCAGTTTTGACAAGAGCCCGAAAGCATGACAGAGCCTCCACCATTTAAGCTGTAGGCTTGTTGTATCTCTTACAGGTAGAAATCTGTACATATTAATGATGATTTGAACCAAAAATTTACAATTGCCACAGATTTTGCTCACAGTTCTTGTATAATTTGGCACACCTCAGCCTTTTCTCCCCATCCCTGGATTCTAAATTGCTTCTTGACACCCATCCTTCCACTGTTGAGGATTCAGTGAACAGTAGGCCAACTGATGCGTCTCTTGAGTTCTGTGTCAGGTGGATTTAGTGGATCTTGTGTGTGTGAATGTGAGAGTGAATGAATAATGGAATTGTAAAGCGCTTTGGGTGCCTTGAAAAGCGCTATATAAATCCAATCCATTATTATTATTATTATTATCTTATCTCTTAAGAACATGACTTCCAAATATCGTTCATCTGCTCTAGATAGTTTTTAGGCCTTCCACTTTTCCTCCACTTGTTCAATTTGTATGTTAGTGTTAAGTGGCTTAGCTCTTAAAATAATCAGGTACAAGGACTGGTTTCAGTATAAGTAAAAACAAAGCCACTGTCTAAAGATCTTCAGAAAGCATGAAGAATTATTGCTAAAGACCACTTTAAATAAAAATTCCAAGAACGTCTGGCTTCGTGGAAGCAATAAATGAAGGGTGGCTCCAGACTTTTGTACAGCACTGAAGGAAGTCTGGTCTCTTATGAAGTCTAACATTAACCATCCTCCCTAGCCTGAGATCACAACTGGATGCCACATCATGTTGCAGAGCACAGCTGCCATTGCACTGCTGCTTTGCGTGCAGTCTCTGCATGGCTCCGCTCTCCCTGCCGTGTCGTCCTATGAGTTCACTGCCTATAGGATGCAACAGTACAACCTGGGACAGCATAAGTATGGTAAGTTCAGACACACCTATATATTATAAAAAAAGAAAAATGACAAATCTGTAGCATAAAATTGCTTCTAAATTTAAAGTCTTGCTTGTTTTTTGTTTGACCTTAAATGTGCCACATGATGCATATTCAAGCTTTGGTGCTGAAAGGATATTTTGAAATCAGTATGTTCCAGGAAGAGAGTTTGTCTGTGCTAAACTCAAATTATAGTTTAACCTGGGTGCTCATGAAACCACTACAAATCTGGTAAACACTTTTAGAGCATTTTATAGGAATATAGGAAAAACTGGATAATTATATAGAACCTATTCTGAGCATAAATTATGTTTCAAATTCTAAGGAAACCATTTTCAGTGTATTTTTTTTAAAATGTGCAGATTAGCTGGAAAGCCGAGGCAAGGTCTTCCAACAGGATTTTTTTTAACCTAAAAATTACAGCTGACTGAGGGAACTAATATTTCTTGACCACTGAGAGCTTGTGGTCACTGCCACTGGAAACAGATTGGTTTGCTAAAGGCTTTTTTTCTGTGTAACAAAACAGGAAGAGGAAGCTGCGTTTAAAGTAGAGTTTCTATGTTGCCCAAGTTGGTATTTATGTATCATTTGCCTTCTCTTGTCTCGTCCGCCGAGGCTGTCGTGGAGCCATTGTTGTTGCGGAGGCACGCTCAGCAGAAGAGCCGTCGCTAACCCGCCGCTGTGTGATAATGAAGGTGGAAGACTTCACTACAGAAAAATACTCCGAGGCCCAACGACAAAATGCAGCTGCCATCCTGATCCTGCTGCCCCAAAATATCTCCAGTATCCCTCACAATGCAGTAGAGGTAATAAATTATAATACTTAAAAGCATTCATTCTGTTATAGACACATCACTCAATTACTAAGGAAATCAGAAGAAAACAGGATTATAAGGAGGATATTAAGAAGATATTAAGAAACTCAAGATTACAATTGTTTCTCTGCCCTTTGGTTGAAGTAAAGCATTTTGTCTCTCAGTCATTTATGGTGAGTGAAAGCGAGACCTTGCTTATGGAGACCCTCATGCCAGTGTATGTGGCACCAGAGGATGAACAGCTGCTCTGCATGTATGAGGAGGTGAAACAGGCTGCAGCCACCCGGACATCATCCATTTTTGTCAGAGGTAAGTGATACAACAACGAGATACATGCAAATGCTTAATGGTGGTTGTTTGGACTAATGCCCGGGGAAAACTAAAAAGAAAGTTACGGTATTACTCACGGTTCTGGTGCATTTCTTCTTTTGTTGACAGTCCTCCGCAGTATGGTCACGGCTACAGCTTTTCAGATTTTAGTGATCAACAATGCCCCAATTAAGGCCACCAATGACAATGCTATAATCACACTGGAGGTGAGTTTGGGACCCAATAATTCCCCATAGAGGAATAAAATTGATTAGATCATCCAATATCAGTTAAATAATTTTCAATCTGCTTGCAAATGCACTTTGGTTCTGTGATATATGCCTGGGGATGTTTATTTCAGGGAGTTCTTCTAGGAGCAGTAGAGGATGCACCCACTATAGTCATCGCAGCCCACTATGACTCTTATGGGCTTTCCCCTGTGAGTCAAATCGTAAAACACCTCTAAAATTAGGTGTAAATTTTAGCAGATAGAGTATCAGACTGTGCTCGAACCATAAATGGATATGTGCTTGTGTGCATTTTACAGTGGTTGTCTTATGGAGCAGACTCAAATGCCGGTGGTGTCACAATCCTAATTGAGTTGGCCCGTCTCTTCCAAAAACTCTACAGTAGTCCCAGAACCAGACCACAGTAAGTTCCAATTCATTGTAAGATTACAAAGCAAAGGCGAAGTTAATAAATGTCTCTACAAAGCAGATGAACACGCAGCAATTCCAATGAATTTTCCTGCTGTGCCTGTCTTTGAACAAGATAATATGCTGCTGGATAAAGATACTGTATTCTGTATGGAGGAAGTATACACTGAAAAGTACAACAGGAAAGGAAAATTAGGGCCTCGTTACTCACTACTCAGGGACCACACCTATCTTCAAACTTAGCTTTCATTGTAACCTCAGCTGGACTGTGAAAGCTTTTGTAATTGCATGGCTCTAATGATGTTGCTTTGAGTGACTGATAGTGATCGGAAATACCCTTGAGGAAAACTAACAGCCAGTGCAGGTCAGTTATAGTTAATAAGTTAAGCTGTTGAATAATTTTGTTTTTTTTGTGTGTGTATGTGTGTGTTTTAGATTTAATTTAATGTTCTCCTTGACCGGAGGAGGAAAATACAATTTCCTTGGAACAAAGAGGTGGATTGAAGAGAATTTGGACCACGCTGGTGAGTTTTCAGCTTTGCCACTCACTGAACATGAGTGGGCTGTGTGCTGTATGTGCTAATGTGAATTAAAACACAAAATGTCAGGTTTTTAAAGCTAAATATTTTCCATCCAGAGTCCAGCCTTCTCCATGACAATGTGGCATTTGTCCTGTGCTTGGATACACTGGCCAACGGCGATGAGCTGTACATGCACGTCTCCCGCCCTCCTAAACCCGACACGCCAATGCAGTCTTTCATCCAACAACTGGAGGAGGTAACCAGCGGAGCTGTTTCTACACGTGCAAGAAAAGCAACCAGATCTCATCAGTCTTAGTCATTTGTGCAAATATCTTATTTAATTGCCCTCCAGGTGGTTTCCTCTAGATTTCCCTGGGTGAAGGTGGGGTTGGTTCATAAAAAGATCAATCTTGTGGAGTCTACTGTAGCCTGGGAGCATGAGCGCTACAGCCTACGCAGGATCCTGGGCTTCACTCTGTCTCATCTGGAAGATCCTAAATCTGAACTTCGTGGCTCTATGCTAGACACCATGCAAGTTTTGTTTATGGATATTATTATTAGTAGTATTTGAGAGCATTGAGGCCCAGGTTGTTTGTCCCTGTACACCACAATAGTGTATTTTAAGTAAAAGAATTAATGTGTGAATAAAGTCAGCTTTTCAGCTTTTACACTTTTTTACACCGACAGACATTTATTTATATATCCAGTCCTTCAGTTTCAGAGGCTCAAAATTAATTAGACAATACACTGACAAGCAGTCTCATAGCCAGCTGAGGACTGTTCCCTTGCTTTTCATGACTAATGAAGCAGATAAAATATCTCAGTTTGACTCAAAGCGTTCAATTTGTTTTATAGTGTTTCACTGTAATTTTTAATATAAGACTCAGAGCGATATCAGTGGAGGTGAGGGGAGCCATCATTAGGCTGAAAAATTCAGAACTAACTATCATAGAGAGAACGCACAGTATATTCTTTAAAAGGCGTGGGTCTGTGGTTTGGTTAGACCAAAAAAGGCAGCTAAAGTACATGATCACAGAATTATTTCCATGGTTAAGACAACTTCACAATATCTAACCAAGTCAAGAACCCTTTTGAGGAGATAGATCATGGATCAATCTACAATCTAAAGAAGCCTTTGGGATGGAAGTACAGAGGGTGAAAATCATTGGTTATAATAAAGAAAAGGGAGGCCAGATTACTCTTTGTCAGAAAACATCTGAAACATCTGAGCCAACCCAGTTGTGTGGGAAAAAAGTCTTTTGACAGATGAATGAAAGTCGAACTTGTCCCAGAATTATGGGAAGAGAGAAGTGCAGAGATGGATAGAAACAGCTCGTAATCTGAAGCATCTGTTAAACATTGTGGAGTCAATGTTATAGCATAGGCACGTGTGGGAGACGTTGGGACTGGGTCACTATTGTTTATTGATGATGTCACTGCTCATGTAAGCAGCAGGATGAATTTGGAAGTGTACGGGGCTATACTCTCGACTTAGATTCAGCCAAATGCTGCAAAACTCATTGTTCACAGTTCAGCTAGGCAGATTTTTATCATGTAAAACCCTCTGAATCAACGTTGAAAGCCTGCACTTCAAACACGTCTTGATTGTTTGATTTAAAATCCACCGCGGTGGTGTACGTAAGCAAAAATACAAAACTGTGTTTTTGTCCAACAGATTGTTGAGTCAAGTGTATTTTCACAGGGCATTAAAAGATATTTACTCATGTGACTATCACCTCTAGGTCAAAAGTGGATTTCCGGAAACTTAAGCGAAATGGCATCATCATAGCAGAAGCACTGGCCCGCTACATGTACAATCTCTCTGACAAGGTGACTGAATGCATGAAAACACAGCATACTGAAAATATAATAAATTTTTTTCATTACGTCAGCATTGCTTTAAAATAGCCATGTTAATGTGTCATAACTGTGTGTTTATTTTTCACAAGGGTTCACCAAAGGATGTGCAAGTTTTCAAGGGCCAGCTGGTAAGATCCCAGTTATTTTGATTGGTATGTACAGAGAAGTGCTGACCTCTGGTGTTAGTTTAGAGACATGACACAGTGTTTGAGTCTTTCGGCAGCTTATTCCTCATGATCATCTGAAGGTTAGGGATGGATCACTGAGGTTATTTATTCAAACATGTTTTAATGTCATTTCTTAAAGATTTATATCTACATGTAACTGAAAAAGTCTAAACAGAGTCTATTTTTGAAATCATAAGAACTGATGCATGCAGAGTAGAAGCTGAGTTTTGTGTGATTTCTTTTTCCCCCTCTGCAAAACCCACATCCAAATCTGTAATTCAGGACATTCAGGACAGTCGTATCTCCAGTTTGATGTCCTTCCTGACATCAGTCCCTCGGGCTACTCAGCTGCTGGATAAGGAACCCAGTCATATCTTGCTGGTCAACTCACTGGAGCACGAATTCAAGCGCTATCTGCTGCATGTCCACAGACACACCTTCCGACAGGACAAGAGGTAAAAAAATACAGCTATCTGAGTAGAAAGAACATCTTTTCAATCCAATCGGTCATACCACGACAACAATAATAATGATCAGCAACATTTCTTCCTGCAGGGATCCTGATATTACCTTCTTTGATCAAATGAGCCAACCAATAGTCATGTACAGGTAGATATTGGTATTATTATATCTGTTTTTAAATTTTAGTGTATATGTTAAATTTAATAAGCCATTAAAACTCTAATGTGCATTTTTTAAATTCAGAGTGAAGCCTGCAGCCTTTGATCTGTTCCTGGGAGGCTGCATTGCTGCTTACCTGGGTATTGTTTACTACGCAATCCAGGTGTGTTAATGCACTCTTTGACGTCCATATTATATTATCTAATCATACTGTATTCCATATTTCCATGTAACTGCACTGTTTACAAGGAACTGTAGACAGTGCAGCTACAGCACTGTTTATTCGTCATTCTGCGTAGTCTAAAAGCACTACCAGTTTAAAATAACCTATTCTTTCTCTTTTAACAGAATTTCGGTTTTCTCTACACAAAAATAAAAGCAGCAGTTAAAACTAAGCACCACTGAATCCACTACGACTACGACCACCGACTCCATGACAAGCGCTTTGAAGTCAGCTCTGCACATGTTGGACATTTGCTGGGTGTGCAGCAGGAAGCCTCTTTGCATGATCACATGCATCTCATATAAAGTGGGAATTTACTTTGAAATGTAAATTTTTTGTTTGTTTGTTTGTTTTTTAAAAAAAAAGATGTTTGTACCTTTCATTACACTTGAAGTCACTTAACTGTGAAAATTACTTACATTAACAGGCTCCGAGTGTGCCGTTTGAAACAAAATGAAACGAAATAAAGAAGTTGTTTCAAGCTGTATGAAAACTGTATCAAAGCTGGGAACGCACAGCCCTGGATCTGATTTGAGCTCCTGTGAAGGACACTCCTGCCAGATCATTACTATGATTCCCCATATCCTCTGCTCTGCATCTGTTCGCGTGGATTTGACTGGGCTTAACATGGCTGTCAAGCGAGGCCCCAACCACTTCACTAGATGAACAGCCAGTTCCTGTCACAGATAAGTCAGTGAGAGCGCTGGAGACACAAAGGCACCCTACAGCGCTTGGTAAATTATTAATGCTTATGTGGCAAGCTGACAGTGAACAGAGGTAACACTGGGTGGTGGTGGTTGTGGTGGTGGTGAAGATTTTTAGAAGCCCCATTTCTCTGCTGTTTCACTCCTTTTCTGCTGATCTGATAGCACTGAGTTTATTTTAACTACGAGGCAGCTGAACAGCCAGAAGTGTTGGAGATCGGTGTTGGCTTATTTGTAAAGGCCCCTGGGAGGGAAATAGGTCATGGGCTGTGACCCCAGGTATGTGTGTCTCTGCAGGGGGCTTGCAGCTAAGGAGGATTAGTGGCCGAGTGCTCAGGTAGCACAAAGAGTTTTTCTGCTTCAGCAAGGATGCCCTTAATCTGCTTTCCTTCCAACAGAGTACATTAATCAGAATAGCTCCAGGTTAAACAAAAAGTTTTATCAGTTTGGAGGTTGACAGGGTTTCATGCAGGATTTATAACTACTGATGCAAGAGAAATGTCATGTTTTTATATAAATATAGAATAAATAATATATAAATATGACAGTGAAATAGGTGGTAATCACACTCCAGGAACAATAAACCCCCATAAATATTAGACAATATTTCCAAACAAACAAACACACAGACAAAGGTAATACAAAGAGGAGGTACACTGTTTTCGGGGAAGGGGTGGAGTTAGCAGGTGTCAGGGGGAGGTGAGTGATGCTGCATGCTCCATTCAGGCAGGCTGATCTGGATGTAAGCCGTGGAAAAGTAAGTAAGGCAGTCAGTGAAGATGGTTCCCCAACTATACATCACAGTGTACAATGAACAGTTCAGATCTCCAGGCACAGTGAAAAGAGCTCAACTTCGACCGACCTCTGCCCACCGTAGGAACAACCCTCAGCCCCGGGCGGTAAGACACACAGCTTTCAATACTGCCTACGTGATCTGTGTGAATGAAAGGCCGGAGTGACTGTTGAAAATTTTGGAATTTCTTTATTCTTTTTTTCAAATTTGTCTCCAAAATTAGAAGTTATACTATATCACCCTGGGTGATTCAGAAAATATGAAAAATATAGCTCATTTCAGGCAGACAGGATTATCTGAGGCAATTATACCTACTGCTCTATGCATTGTATTTTGTTTGGCTATATTTAAAAAAAAACAGTGTCCTACTAATTGACTGGTTGGGCACATTTTTCTGTGAATCATAACAGCTGTATCCTACTATTATGCAGGAATTTCTCCGTGCTTATTTATTCATGCAAGGATGAATAGAGTTAAGAAAATTTACATGTATGTGTCCCATTTGTTCTTTGCCTCCCAAGGACTTTCTGTTTCCCAGGAGCCTTCAGTCAAACAATAGGTCAACCCATGCACTTCTTCATCCCTTGCCCCCTGTGGACTTCGGCCGCCCTCTTTTCCCCCCTGTCAGACATTTTTCATTTCACGGTCCTGTTGCAACTTGTTCTGACAGTTATCTAAATACAACCGACAAAACACAACACATGCCCCCTGTCAACCCATCAACAGTACAAGCCATGCCCTCTGCTGATAAACTGCAGAAACTACAACTGACCGAGCCTTCCCCGAGCACTGACATCCACCTCAGCACTGCTTTGAAGAGCCCACAAAGGTAAATATATTCTGTATATTCCATCAACAGACCAGAGATAAATACTCAGTGATTTAGAGTGATTCTTTTTGCAGCAGACTTGGTTATCAAAAGCATGTCCATCCACATTCAACACAGCAGCTCAGGTAGGCAAATAACCTTTGGCCTGTTCTTATGGTCTCAGGGCTGATGAACATTATTGATTTATAACCTAGTAATTCTATTAAAAAACATTTTTTTTCATCTTTCGAACAGGCAAAATACAGCTGCTCCGCTTCAAACAAGAGCCCAAACTCCTGCAGCTCCTTGCAGCTTTGTACAGACAAAATACCAGAGGTGCTGTTCTAACAGCAGCCGGGATAACAGGTGATTATTTAGTCGAATGTGATATATTGAAATATATCCCCATTTTTGTTTTGGTGCATTTAATAATAGCTGCTGATAGTCCTTTTTCTCTCTTTTGGTTCCTCAGCAGTGGTTGCTACAGCTGTTTCCATGTGGTGAAGCCCTACCAAGCTGGACACTACATCATACACCCAGAGTTTGTGTCTGAAAGCCTTTATTAGGATTATTAGCGCTCTGGTTTCCAAGATGGTGACCCGAAGAGGTCCACGGAGAGCCTGAGGCTACTCTCCAGCAATTGTTAACTTTTCCTTAATTCTCTGTTAATTAACCCAGTGAGACAAGGTGTAAGAGTGAATCATGTAGAGTACAAGCACAGCTGTTATCTCATTGTGTAATGCAAGGAAACTTTTGCAGTTAAGTGCTCAATCGGTACCAAAGATCTTCTCATGGGATGATTTTGACGATCAAATGAGGCTCTGAGGCCCTAAGGTGCTGTACGTGAGTTTTTGTAATTTTAATCTTCTGAGGAAAACGTGTGTCAATTAAAAGGGAATCAGTACAATGATACAGTATGATGCCGTCTTCAACTACCAGAGCAAATGCAGTGAAAGAGTGTCACTATCGATGCAAATAAAGGAAGCATTACCCTCACTTTGTTAAGGATCAACTCCTCACCTCTGTATACACTGCACTTTTTTGGTGACTTTTAGGTTCATCGGGTTCTTTGTGAAGTATTGCGTAATTTGCATGCAACACTGTCACATGCGCAGCAGAATGAGAAAACACAGAGCGCTGCTTTTCTGCTGAACTACATTTCCCAGGCGTTTATGGACGTGTGCAGGGCGGAGACCCAGCAGCACGCTTTGATTCCTTTCACGGGCTGTTTGTGTGAACAGAAGCAAACAAGTTGTACTTTGAGTCGACGGGGGGACTGCTGCTGATCGGTAGGCAAAAAAAACACAAAAATTAACTATAAATGTAATTTAAAATCTAACAAACCGAAGAGAAAAGGGCAACAAGTGTGAGCGAAAATTATAGTGCACATGGATTACGTGTTATTTTTCTTCTTTCTCGTACCACCTACTAAGGCGCAAAACCAACGACTGCTCTCTATACATCGACAGACACAGACATGCTTAGAAATGCGCTGTTGTTGTCTGTAGTGCACGATTTATGCAGTTAATAAGAGACAGATATATAAGCAAAAACTCCACAGCACACAACAGTCAATTTTGCACACACGCACGAGCTTAGATTTAGACTGATGGAGGGTTTCTTTCTCATACGGCTGCTCTGATTTTATCAGCACTTCACTGTTTGTTTTTCCTCCATGTGATGGTAGATAGTGAATCAGCTGAAATGGTGCATATGAGCCCTCTTGATAATACCTTAAACAAAAAAAGTGCAGTGTAAAGCTTTTAGAAGAAGAACATGCTGTACTTGAAAACTTTGAGTTTGTTTGTGAGAAGCCGTTGAAACTGGAGCAGAAAGGATTGGCCACATTTTTTTTTTAAATTTTAGCTCCATAAAACTAAGCAAAAATCATTTGGTCTACACACACGTGCATATTTGTAAGAAATGGAAAGATGTCACTGTGGCCTCTTGCACAGTTTTCCAGGATTGTGTGGATGAAACAATTAGGTACTTCTTGGTGGAAAAAACCTATTAATGTTGAACAAAGTGTTGGTTTCAGCCTGATATGATCAATATCAAATCACAAACTGTCATAGGTTAACTTCTTAAACCCACCCTTGTAGTTTTCCATTACAATAAAGAAGAAATAACTCCTAGAAATGGTAAATCATCTTCTGACTTTCTTGGTAAATTTCCTAACTGGGTCCAGCAGCTTGATTGAATCTCAGAGCTACCAGCAGTTAGTTCTCTGTTAATTAATGATAGGCTTATGTTATCACTACTGCTGTTGGGGGAAATCTATACCAGGGCTGGTTGAACACAGAATCAGTCAATTAGATTGCTAATTAATAGCCAGCATTTGTTTATTATCGACCCCTGCTGCCAGGGCAGAGCATGAGCATCAAGTGTAGTTAGGACTAGTGAGCATGTAGCTGAGTTGGAGAGGACTGAACTCCGCTAGATCGGCTGTGCATTCTTATCAGATCTCCTCTGATTAGTTAAAGCCACAATAACTAACATCAGCCATTAATTAGTTTACCCATAAGAGTTTCTGCCTTCCCTTCGCTGGGAGGTGCACTACAAATGGATCTCTGTCTGTTTTCTTTTTGTTAGACTTGTTTACTCTGCTGTCAAACTTGCACCGAATGATGTGTGGGTTACTTGGAGTTTTGGTTTGTTGGGCTTGATAGAACACAATGTTTAGTATTCTTTACTTTCCTTCCTGACATTGGCAGAGGTTTAAGGCCCAAATCCCCTTTTCTGCTTCTGCGCCTCCTTACATACAAATGAGTATTCTTTCAATTTTGAACTCATAGGTTAGAATTACTGCTGGGAACATCTACTTATTTTTTTTTTATGGGTAATTGGCAGTAGATTTGTTTGGTTAAATCTCAAACACATCTTTAAAGTTTACATTCTGACAGCCTAATACCTTTAAGTGCTGTGAAATCACTTTGTTCAGCAATGCAGAGCATGTAAGACAACCCAGGAAATGTAGTGGAGGCTTTGAACTGACAGGGAAACAAGGAGGACTGAGAGCACCGATGGGGCTGGGGTTGTTTTCCTGGAGGTCCTTTGATAGTTTCATTGGTATATTCTGACTGTTTGCTACTGAAAGAAACATGAATGCACTAAAACACCTGCACATTTTTCTTATAAAGAATCAAAATAGTAATTGAAGTTTGATTTCCTCAAAATACTGTGTTAATATGAAATCTACAAATATTGCATCGTCACCAATTTTTAATTTTTTTTAAAAGACTGGTATATCGTTGTCATGGCAGGAAGAAAAACAGATGTGACAAGCTTCCAAGTGTCAAACAGAAGAGGTTTCCTGTAAAACATATTGATGATCTGTGGAAAAGCTACTTTGGGATTTGCACATTGAACAGCACAAACATGTACCAAGTGGTGCCAGGTGGAGCGGGGGGCACAATTACAGATGTTATCCCCAAGCAGAAACTCAGCAAGGACACTCGACCCTTAGTTGGAGCTGGAGTAATCGGGCTAGTGCTGGTGATTGCAGCTGTGACTGCGTGGTGTTACTACATAGCCTCTTTACGCAAAGCGGAACTGCTTAAGACTGAGCTGCTGGATCTGAATAAAGATGGCTACATCATCCGAAACCAGGGAGGGTCTATCGTTTTCAGAATGGATTTCAGGTTGGTATTTCAATTTATTTTATTTATTTTTTTGCTATTTAAGTTTCCATATACAGAAAAAATGAGACCTTTAGATATACAAATCCATTATTTTAAATATGTGCTGAACTTTTTGTCATTTAACAGAAATGTGAGATTTGTGTAAAGAGATAATGCTTATAGTTATTTTTGAATCTTGACAGGTCAGGAACCCTTGATTTAGACTCCTGCTCTAAAGAAGGTGAGATTCTGAGCTGCGTCCGCACCACAGACAGAAAACTGATTTTTTTCATTGAGACAGTACGGCCCAAGGATACTGTCCAATGCTACCGTGTGCGCTGGGAGGAAGTGGTTCCTGATATTCCCGTAGAGCATGCAATGACATACAAGTTTGCACACTGGTATGGAGGCGCAGTGTCAGCAGTTCAACACTGGCCTATTTCTATTTCTGGCCAACAGGCTCCAAAACCATTTGTTACTAGTGACATCTACTCAAATCGTGATGAGTTTGGTGGAATTTTAGAGAGTTACTGGATTTCATCTAATGCCACTGCCATCAAGATCAATAACTCTGTGCCCTTCCATTTGGGTTGGAATGACACAGAGAAGACCATGTACTTCCAAGCACGGTATAATGATAGTTCCTTTAAGCCAAACCCAGGGGAGATGCCATGTGCGGAACTTAGCTACAGAGTTTGTGTGGGATCGGATGTAACATCCATACACAAGTACATGGTCCGCAGATACTTCAACAAGCCAAACAAAGTGCCTGCCGAAGTTATGTTTCGCCATCCCAGTTGGTCAACATGGGCATTACATAAAACTGACATTGACCAAGAAAAGCTTTTGACATATGCTGCGAACATTCGCAAGTATAACTTCAATTGTAGCCAAATGGAACTGGATGATGGCTATTCCCGCCACTATGGGGACTTTGAGTTTGACCCAGTTAAGTTCCCCAATGCCTCTGCTATGTTTCATAAGCTGAAGTCAGATGATTTTATGGTGTCTCTCTGGATTCACCCTTTTGTTAATCATGATTCAGAAAACTTCCATACCTGTGTGGAGAGGGGATTGTTTGTCCGAGAACCTACAGGCCAACTGTCAGCCTTAGTGCGTTGGTGGAATGGCATTGGTGGCATCTTGGATTTCACAAACCCTGAAACCCGTGATTGGTTTGCCTCCCAGTTACGTTCACTGCGATCCAGGTATGGGGTGTCCTCTTTTAAATTTGAGGCAGGAGAGGCTAACTACTTACCATGGAAATTTAAGACTTTGGAATCCATTCGGGACCCGAGTATTTTCACAAGACGTTACACAGAAATGGCAAGCCTGTACAATGACAGAGCTGAGGCGCGCAGTGGTTACCAGTCCCAGAACATATCCTGCTTTTTCAGACCAATTGACAGAGACTCAGTTTGGGGGTATGAGTTGGGTCTCAAATCTGTTATTCCTGCAGTGCTTACCATCAGCATTCTGGGCTACCAGTTCATTTTACCAGATATGATTGGAGGGAATGCGCATGTGAACCGCACATATGGAAATCGTGGATTACCTGACCGAGAACTTTATATCCGCTGGTTGGAGCTATCAGCCTTCATGCCCTCTATGCAGTTTTCTATTCCACCGTGGGAGTACGGCGATGATGTAGTTGAAATTGCTCGGAAATACACCGCCCTCCATGAAAGTCTTGTGGCACCAAGGGTCCTGGAGCTGGCCAGCGAGGTGCTGAGCACTGGGGACCCAATCATACGACCAGTGTGGTGGATTGCCACAGGTGATGAGACAGCCTATAAAATTGACTCCCAGTTCCTGATTGGGGATGACCTCATGGTAGCCCCAGTTTTAGAGCCTGGAAAGCAAGAGAGAGACATCTACCTCCCAGCTGGCCATTGGAGAAGCTACAAGGGGGAGAGATTTGATATCAAGGAACCATTGCACCTCACAGACTATCCTGTAGACCTGGATGAAATTGCCTATTTTCTTTGGGTGTAGCAGGAGGTAAATAACAGTCTTGATTATTTTACGCTCCGATTTGCTTGTGGGACAAGCTTCACAAGTCCTTTTATCGATGGATGGGTGGATGGATGTTATATGGACAGATTTGTGGGGGAAAAAAATGTTTTTTTTTTTTTTATAGAAATTAAAATTTTAACAGCACATTACTTTACAAATGTGAACATTGTCACTCAAAAACATTTAAAATCTCATCATCACTGATTTTTTTTCTCCCCAATTTGATTTAAACTAATAATTACAACATTGTCTTTAGTATTTTATGGTATAATGAATCATAGCTTAGTGTGATTTAAACTGAAATCGTATAACTTCTGGTGTCTGGCAGAATTAATCTTGTAAATGGTAAAATGTGATAGACACCGATCTTTTATGTTTGTATGCTTGCAATATTAGCCAACAATGGCCACCATAAGCTACTTGTCTTACCAGATCTAGCAAGACTAATGTGCCAAACCACTTATTATTTTACAGTAACGAAGGTATGTTTTAAAACTCATTAGTTAAGCATATTTTTGTGTGTCTGTAAGATTTTTAAAACTATCTGTGCTGCTTTAAGCCACATACTTGAGACATTTGTTAAAAAGGGGATTTACTAACTGTGAAAGAAGTTAAGCTTAATTGCCAGTGAATGCTATAAAGTTGTTATTTGAGCCTCGCAGCACTTTGAATTTCAGCTTAAGCCAAACAGACTGTGGTGGGAGGATGACTGAAGGGGTGTCGTTATTGGATACTTCTCAGGAAGTTATCTTTAATGCTTCATTCATTAGAATCAGTGCTTGAGGTTTAATCATTACAAAGTGCACAGCTCTCACTAATGCAACACCGAGTCATGTAACTACTCTTAGACAAGAACGAGACTCCTTTTTATTAAGCTTTGAATGTTGTCCTTTCTGACTCAGGTAATGGTTTTCTCAGGCCGTCTGAAGTATCTCGCAGTTCTTTTAATGATCTTGGCTAAGCTTGTATGCAGCTAAAAACGCAGTAATACTTTCATGTCTTATGCAGTGTTTGCCACGTCCAAAATAATAAGCAGTTCTGTAGCATTTTTTTGGTATAATTTAAAAAAATTAAAATGATAGGTGTTGTAAATTTAGTGTAATTTAAAAATCACTTGTAATGCTACAATGATTTTATTTGTAATCTTGGTTTGTTTGATTAATTAAATGGCAGTGATGTGCCCGTAATTAATAACTATTTGCAAAGTGATTATTAGATTTTTTTTAAAAATGCATTTATCACAGCCCTATTTTAAAAGAAATGTCAATACAGAGTAAAGAGAATTAAAAGAAGAGAATGTTACTATTTGCTAATTACTTCAGGCCCATATTTAATTGGAGGTGGTAGAATGACACTTCTTTAAACTAACTGGACCAAAACATTGTTATTGTATCAGTTAATGCACATTATCTCTGCTATTCAAGAAAGAAAAAAAATATTAAGCAAGATCCACACACATCACTACTTTTTTTTCATTTAAAATGAATGAAGACAAGTGAAACCTGTCCTGTGTTCTTGCCAGTCAAAATTGTACTCATTTGCCTATTAGCAGGGCACAGTTTAAATGACATTTTACTCAATGCTGAACACTGCACACAGTTTTCTGGGCAATGTATGGCTTTTATTTTTATTTTATTAATATTATTTTAAGGGAAGGCTTTGGCTATTTCAATAAGATCATGGAGAGTCCTGGTGCTAAACTGGCCTGCCTATACTGGAGACCAAGGTTTTGAGCAGCTGAAATTATGTGTCAGGGGAAAACAAACAAAACATCTTGCTTTTAATTTGCATCATCATTTGGTCTTCTGAGTTCAAGAAACGGGGTTGATAAAAGAAGTTGCTTAAAACTATTGCTCAACTGTTAATTAAAAAAAACAAACAATGTATACAACTCACAAGGTGCAATTTTATATAAATGTATCTTGCAGTTATATAAATATTACACAACATCTGAACTTTTCTGGAAATGGGAATGTATTGATTGTGAGGTAATATTTGTGATGTGTAAATGGGTTGAAGTGTAATGTTAATGTTGCAGAACACGATGTCTTTGCTCCTCAGGCTTTTCTATCATTTTTTTCACTATGTAGCTACAAATGTCCATTTATTTATTTTTTTCCCCCAACACCGTTATAGATCAAAGTACAGTATGTAATATCATGTATGCTATTATCAAGAGGTGCAACAGATATTGATCTTCTCGTCAAACTAGAATACGTTAAGTAACATATTCCTCTGACTGGCATATCAAAGGCTATCCAAGAACCCAACCTTGTTATTGGTTTTGTCTGTTTCATTGTTATTTGTTTTACATTTTGACATAAATTCAAAATCCTTTTAAAATTGAATAAATGGATAAATCAACTTTAATGATGTCCCTTTTTGACTTCCTGTGGATTAATTTAAATATTCTCATGGTTTCTGTTTTTGACCTATTGTGGGTTCATGCTGAACTTTTGCCATTTGAAATGTAGCTTCTATGTTGACATCCACTGAATTTTGTTTTTGCCTTTTGACATCACAGCTGTTCTACCTATTTATAGCTGTTCTCACTTAGCATCTGGGCCAAGCCAATCTCTAAGGCTATTTCAGTCTAAGACCATCTTGCCACATAACAAGACTGAAAGCTGAAGCTTTGACTGAAGGTTTCTTCTTCCCCAGTGTGAAAGGGCAGCATATCCAATGCCAGTTTGTATGAATGTACAGCACTGTGTAAAAGTCTTGAGCCATCCCTCATTTATTTATATTTTGCTTCCAAGGAGTCAGACTTGGTTTCAGTCCAGTCCTTGTGACTGTTTTTCACTGGAATATATTTTTGTTTGTTAAGCCACTTGATTCTTATAATTCTGACTTATAATCATTCAAGCACAAAAAAAGCACATAACTCAAGGGATGCACCAGTGTTCACTACACAGACAACTTGGCACGAACCGAAAAACAAAACCTTTTTCTAAATTGTATCTTTAGGCACTTTGTTGCTACAGCTTGTTGCAGAAAAACAGAATTTGTTGAATGTATGAAAAATGCCAAAGATAACACAGGCTGACAGGCATAAAATACATTTTTTGCAACAAGAAAAAAAGAAGCAACTGGCCTAAAAAATTACAGCAGAGTGTCTAAAAATCATGTTCTTAAGAAATAGGAAAAGAATCCAGACCTTACACACAACATGAGATGCATCTGGGCTTTCAATTGATCCATCTACTTTTTTCTGAAGGCTCATCAGAAATGGTCTCAGTTTAAAGGGGGTTGTCAAGAACCCATCCTTAAGCAAGTGGAACACAGAGAAAAGGCAGAGGCATGGTAAATTACACAAAAACTGGGATGAAAACCAGGGGCAGCGAGTCTGATGCACTGATGGATCACAATATGAAATTTTCAGTTCAAATTGTCAGTATGTATGGAGTAGGTCAGAAGATGTACAGCAGTTAGTGTCTGCAGAGCAACAACAGAACAACTGCTCTGTCATGGTTTTGGACTGCAGTTCATCCAGTGGTCTCAGGATCTTGGCAAAACTGATGCAGAAAAGCACTGCCAGATTTTGATCCACCATGCAACACCATCTGGAAGGTATCTAATTGGCAGCAGCTAAAAACTTGACAATGATCCCAAACACACTGACAGTACAGTAAAAACATACCTGGATAGATAAATTGTCCTCCCTAGAGCCCAAACATCAACATTTTGACGCAGTGTGGAATAATTTTGACATAAAACAGAACAAAAGGCAGCCGACATCCAAAGAAGAGCTTTGAATGTCCTTCGAGAAGTATGGAGAACTATTTCTGAAGACTGCTTACCAGAAAGTTTAGCTGAAAGAGTTCAGGCTGTGTTGAAGAAAGGTGGTGCAAACTTGCACATTAATGCTTTAAAGAATCCAGGCTTGTCATATTTTGTGCTTGAAGACCTTTTGCATGAAAAAAAAAAATCAATATTAAATTGTTAGATATACCTGACAGTTGTTTTTAATCCCCCAACAATGCCCGTCTGACTTCTTACACACAAAATAAATAAAATCTTAAGGATACAAGCATGGAAGAAAAATAATGTGAAATTTAGGTCAGTAAGCTGACCATGCAATCAGCAAGCCAGTAACAACCTATAACCTCTTTTAAGTCTGCAATACATGAAAACTAATGTGCTGATCAGTTCAATATTGAAAGAGACACCCTTGAGGGACTTTTCCAACTTTTTGAAACCTGCTCATCATGGGGCAATAATGACAAGGTGATGAAACCATTCTGCGGGTTATTTGGAGGCTGTGTTCAGATCAATAAATCATCAGGTGGTTCATGATGTGAGGCCAGAGAGCAAGTGATATAAAAGTGTATGACTAGACACCAAGAATAAGAAAGATAAACTTACTACACTGTGAGATAGAAGCCACAATATTTATTACAATTACGGCATAAAACACGACTGCTCTTTCTGAGTTCAAACAGTCTGGCATCTCCATTCCTCATAGCTAGAGTCGATCTTTCATATGTTTTGGGAATTTATTCCATTTCACAACAGCGGGATATGCTTCAGAACTACTTCGCTTTATTTGCCAATGTCTCATCTGTCTTCAAAATTGATCTGGACTTGCAGCCTGTGCAGGGAGGACATACATTCATTGATTAGCTGTCTGTGCGCTCCCCGGATCAATATTATTTGTCAGTGTTCTTTCTACAATCATATTGTTTGGCTGTGCCTATCTTTTCATAGACTGAACAATAATTTATGTAAGATCTTTAGGAGCTTTAGGACCATCTGAGAGATTTCTGGGAGAAAGGTTGGAAAAGGATTAGAAGTGGAGATGCTTGTATGCAGAAGAAATACCAGTTTAATGAATTATCTTAAGACTTAGTTCAGTGTATGGAAACATACCTTTTAAGGTTTCCAAAAGCTGTGTGTTTATATATTTTTAAAGATACTTAAATGTTGTTGTTCACTGTATTTTAATGTGTTAAAAACAAAAGGAAACAGATTTAAATAAAACAAGCTCTCTTAAGAGCTTTTAATCAAGTTTCTTCCGACAGTAAAAACAAACCTAGACGTGAAGACTGTTTAGGCCATGTGCCGCTGCGGTTGTCCAGAAGGGTGCAGTGTAGCTTCACTGA